GTTTAATGAAATAGGCATAGATGGAACTTATCTAAAAATGATAAAAGCCATATATGACAAACCCACAGCAAACATCATACTGAATAGGGAAACATCAAAAGCAACCTTGCTTAGAACTGGAACCAGACAAGGTTGCCCTCTATTACCACTTCTATTCAACATAGTGCTGAAAGTCCTGCCAGAGCAATCAGATAAGAGAAGGAAATCAAGAACATCCAAATGGGTGCAGAAGAGGTCAAACTCTTGCTCTTTGCTCATGACATGATGTTATATCAAGAAAACCCTAAAGATTCTGCCTTGAAACTACTAGAATTAATAAATAAATTCACTAAAGTCTCAGGTTACAAAATCAATGTACACAGATCAGTAGCATTCCTATATGTCAACAACAGGCAAACTGAGACCCAAATCAAAGACTCAATACCCTTCACAAAGCAAAAAAGAAAGTAAAATACCTAGGAATATATTTATCTAAGGAGGTGAAAGACCTCTACAAGGAGAACTATGAAGCACTGAAGAAGGAAATTATAAAGCATGTAAACAGGTGGAAATCCATACCATGTTCATGCATCAGCAAAATCAACATTGTTAAAATGTCTCTACTACCCAAAGTAATCTACAGATTCAATGCAATCCCTATTAAAACACCAACATCAATTTTTACAGATCTAGGAAAAATAATTCCATTATTCCTATGGAACCAGAGAAGATCCCATTCAACAAAAGCAACCTTAAGCAAAAAGAACAAATTGGGAGGTATCAATTTTCCAGACTTCAAGCTATGCTACGGGGCTACAGTAACTAAAACAGCATGGTAATAGCACAAAAACAGAGACATAGATCTATGGATCAGAATAGAGAACATGGATATGAATCCATTCTCATATAACCATCTTATCTTTGACAAAGCAGACAAAAACATACAATGGGAAAAAGAATCCCTATTCAATAAATGGTGCTGGGAAAATTGGATAGCCACATGTAGACAGCTGAAACAGGATCCACACCTCTCATCTCTCACAAAAATTAGTTGATAATTAATAACTAATGTAAACATAAGGCATGAAACTATAAGACTTCTAGAAGAAAATGTTGGAAAAACTTTTCTAGATATCAGCCTAGGCAAAGAATTTATGAAGAAGACCCCAATGGGAATCATAGCAACACCAAAAGTAAATAAATGGGATCTGATCAAATTAAAAAGCTTCTGCATAGCAAACAGAATGGGAGAAAATATTCACATGCTACAAATCCAATAAAGGGCTGATAGCTAGAATCTATTTTTATGTATTTACTTGTTTATTTATTTTGAGATAGAGTCTCTCTTTGTTGCCCAGGCTAGAGTGAGTGCCATGGCGTCAGCCTAGCTCACAGCAACCTCAAACTCCTGGGCTCAAGCAATCCTCCTGCCTCAGCCTGCTGAGTAGCCGGGACTACAGGCATGTGACACCATGCCCAGCTAATTTTTTATATATATATTAGTTGGCCACTTAATTTCTTTGTATTTATAGTAGAGACAGGGTCTTGTTCTTGCCCCGGCTGGTTTAGAACTCCTGACCTCGAGCAATCCACCTGCCTTGGCCTCCCAGAGTGCTGGATGATAACTAGAATCTATATAGAACTCAGGAAAATCAACAAGAAAAAATCAAACAACCCCATGAAAAAGTGGGCAAAAGTCATGAACAGAAACTATTCAAAAGAAGACAGATTAATGGCCAACAAACATATGGAAAAATGCTCAACTTCTCTAATCATCAGAGAAATGCAAATCAAAACCACAGTGACATATCACTTTACTCCAGTGAGAACAGCTTTTATCAAAAAGTGTCAAAACAACAAATGTTAGCGTGGGTGCAGAGAGTTAGGAATGCTCATACACTGCTGGTGGGACTGCAAACTAGTGCAACCTCTTTGGAAAGTAATATGAAGATACCTTAAATAGCTAAAAGTAGAACTACCATTTGATCCAGCAATCTCATTACTGGGCATCCACCCAAAGGAAAAAAAAAAGACCTTCTATATATATAAAAAAACTCTGCATTTGAATGTTTATAACAGCACAATTCACAATTGCAAAGATGTGGAAACAACCCAAGTGTCCATCAATTCATGAGTGTGTTAACAAAATGTTTATATATATACACAGACATACATACACATACACACACACCATGGAGTAGTACTCAGCCATAAAAAGGATGAATTAATGTCTTTTGCAGCAATTTGGATGGAACAAGAGACCATTATCCTAAGTGATATATATCGAGAATGGAAAAAAAAGAAAATCACATATACTCTCTATTAAATTGGATCTAACTGATGGGCACACATGTGCACAGATTGAAGTAAAGCTTACTTGAAATCAAATGGGGGAGAGGAGAGGAAGCGTGTGACAAAAGTCTACATAATGGCTATAATGAACACTATTTGGGTGATGGGCATACTTATAGCCCTGTCTCAAACTATCCATGTAACAAAAACACTTGTATCCCCTTAATGTTTTCAAATAAAATTTAAAAAATAGTCTTCTCACATAATTGTGAGTATTATTCTTTGATACGTCACCAAAACTTGACAATAATTGTTGCAATGTGGAATTTGAAATGTTATTAATATACTTTTTGTTTTAATACATTGACATTAGTGTGGAAAAGAGATGTCTGCACTCCTATTTTGTTGTAGCACTATTTGCAGTAACCAAGTTATGAAATCGACCTATATGTCTATAAACATATAAGTGGATAAAGAAGACATGGTTGTATATAGAAGGGCCATCGAAAAAGTATCCAGCCATGTAATATGTTCTTATTATAGTAACAATGGCTGGATACTTTCCAGATAGCCCTTGAGCACAATGGAATACTATTCAGTTTTAAAAATAAAGAAATTCTGTCATTTGTGGTAACATGGATGGAATCATAGAATGTTATACTAGGTAAAATAACTCAGAGACAGAAAGACAAATACCACATATTCTTGCTTATATGTGGAAACTAAAACAATTGAACTCATAAAAGCAGAGAGAAAATTGTTGGTTTCAGGAACTTGGGGTGGGGAATGAGAATGTGATAGTCCAAGGGTAGAGGGCCCCAGTTAGGAAAAATGTTGGATTTTTTAAAAAATCTGTTGCATAGTATGGTGAATATACCTAATAATTGTGTACTATACATTTCAAAATCACCGACAGTAAATTTCAAATGTTCTCACCACAAAAAGTTAAATATTTGAAGTTATGAATATAATTATATTAGTTTGTTTCATATTGTATTCAAAAATTATAACATCACTTTGTACCTGTAAATATATACAGTGATCAATTATCAATGTATAATTAAAAAATTTAAAAACATGTTGGTCTGTTTTGGATCTTGAACTCATGTATAACTTTGAAATGTCATATATGGGTCCTTTGGGAAACATTTTTTTACTGAATTATCTATTAATAATTCAGTGGCTCCTGGCTGGTGAGTATTTTGCTCTCCAGGAAATATTTGGCAATATCTGGAGATGTATTTAGTTATCATGCTAGGGGATTGCTACTGAGATGTAGTGGGTCAAGGCCAGAGACGCTGCGAAGCATCCTACAATGCTCTGAACAGCCCTCCAGAACAAAGAATTACACAGACTAAAATGTCAATAGTGCTGAGATTGGTAAACCTTAATATATTTAATGTTGACATATTTCCTTATACAATATAAGAATTTATATTTGTTAATATCACCACCAGTGTTTTTGGAAAAGTTTTTAGGGAAGTTAAATACTTCCTTAGAAAGTTTTTGGGAAGCTGTCAGGGTCATGATGGTGGATGCAAGTTCTCTAAAAACTGTAATTTTAGCTTTTAAGCTCAAATTTTCTCATTTATAAAATACATTTTCAGTTATTTTCCTTCATGTTACAAACCACACGTTATTAATTTTAAAGAAATTGTGTCAGAAGTACCCAAGCCTGAATAACCAGTGTTTGTCAATTGTTCTTGGAATTAAAAATGTTCTATGAAAAATGGAGTTACTAGTTCTCACAGCTCAATCACAGAACTTTTCTTGAAGACAACTATCACATTATATATAGTATAAATGCTTTATGCTTCACTTTTCTTTTTCTGTGAAGGTGTGAAGTGAATGATATAATAACTATTATATAACAATACAATTTGGTGTCACTTCTTCGATGTAGGTAGCAGTAGTTTTACCCACCATTGCTTTTGAACTGTCAGCATAAATATCAATACAGTGGAAAAGGCAAATTAAACCCTAGTATTATTTAGAAAAAAAGTTAAACTAATGGGCCCCCTGAAAGAGTCACAGGGGCCCAGGTACCATACTTAAAGAACTTCTGCTCTAGACTTATATGAGAGAAACAAACCAGTATTTTTTAAAGACATTGTTAATTAGGATTTTGGATACAAGATAACTCGTGTCTCTAGTTTTCAAATAGTCTTTCAAATAAGCTCACTTGCCAACAAGTCAGCCATTATACAGAGATTGAGACTCTTGAATTTATAGTAACTTACTTCAAATTCTGAGAAAGAATAAGAAATTAAGAAGCAACCCCTTCTCAGTGGTTTCAATGTTTGTTGTTGATCGTAATTAAAGACTGGAAATCACTATGATGTTCACCATTAAGTTTCTGCTAATTAAATATAAAACCTTCATATACACTAGACCAGAGTAAACCATATCACAGAACTGAGCACTGTCTGTATTAGAAAACCCTATATAATATTATGGAAAATGATATCAATTTATATACTACAGTGGAATAATAGAGCAAGTGAAGAGATTATGGCATGGAGCCATTTTTGATTCTGTTTGCTTATTTTTTGGTTTACCCATATATAATATTTCCTTTTAAAACATGATTATTAGTAACTTTGTGTGGGCTCAAAAGTAGGGTAGCATGGCCTTCTCAGGCAGTTCTGTTTAGAAATCAGCACAGCATGCTCTGTTGTACCTCTCCTCCCTTGTTCTCAACTGTTACAAACACAGTGAATATTTTTTTGGTCTATAATTACAGACAGTGGAAAGAGCATCAGCTTTGGAGTCAGTTCAGACCTGTGTCTTCTGCATAGCTGAAACCCTGGAAAAGTAAGTTACTTAATCTTTCTGATTCTGAAAATTTTCACCTGGTATATGGCAATGAAAATATGTATTTCTCAGGTCTGCTATGAGGACTAAGGGTGGTGAAGTACATAAGCACTCAGCATAATGCTAGGTGCATAATAGGTGTTTCATAAATGAGAATTACCGTTATTTTAGTTTAGTGTCTAAGGGACTTGTTTAGATTTTAGAAACTCTGCTTTCCCAATTCTCCTTCAATGGGTACACTTTAACACCCAAGCCTTACTCTGGAAAGTTAAGTACTTAAAAGGGTCTTTATGTTTTCTTTGAAGCATTTTTAAAACAAAATTTTATACTTTCCTTTGTCATGACCATAGTGTCCTTTAAAAAAGAATGCTCTTTGTCCCCTTGACTTCAATAGGGAGTTTAACTTTGTTAAGATGCTTTCTGTGTATGTTTAAATGTATTACCGTACATTATAAGCTGAACATTATATATTATTCATTGCATAGAAGCCTGTCTAGCAAAACAGCCACAATTTAAAACAGGTCAATGGTGTGAATTAGAAGCAAAAACTTGGGAAAATGTCTATATTAGACTGTCTTATGGATCTAAATTGTACAGTAAGAATATAGACTTTGCAAGTAATTAAAAAATGTTTGTTTTTCATTTCTATCTTTTTCAGTCTGGCATGGCAGAAAAACCAATGTATATGGCCCCACAAATACCTGATGAGGAAGAAATAGTTAAGTATATATTTCAAATAGAACTCTGCATTTTAAACTTCAATAAGATTATATAGCTTCAAAATATTGACTTAGTAAACTGATATAGGACTAGATAATAAAGGCTAGTTTGTTATATTTAGACATGAATTAACTTTTATATTAATTGCAATTAAATATCAATGAGGGTTTAAATAGTTGTTACATGTTTCATTAGTCTAGTGACCTTGTTAGTAGTGCAAAAGACTATTTCTATTTAACATCGAAGAAAAACAATTAAAACTCCAGAATCTCCCAAGAGGTAAGAAGAATAGTGCTATTTTGATGGATATGGTTGTAGAATTTATGTGCTGATAAGAAATAAATTTTATTTTAATTTTTTATCTTTTATTATTATTATTTTTAAATTTTAATACATTTAAGAGGTACAAATGCAGTTTTCTTACATGGATATATTTTATGGTAGCGAGGTCTGGTCCTTTAGTGTAACCATCACTTGAATAGTATACATTTAACCCAATAGGTAACTTTTTATCCTTCGACCCACTCCCAGCCTCCCATATTTAGAGTCTCCAATGTCTATTATTCCATTCTGTATGACCATGCATACCCATGGTTTAGCTCCCACTCATAAGTGAGAACATGTATTATTTTATTTTCCATTCCTGAGTTACTTCACTAACTAAGGATAATAACCTCATGTTTCATTCAAGTTGCTACAAAAGAAATATTTCACTCTTTTTTATGGCTGAATAGTATTCCTGTGTGTGTGTGTAGTGTGTGTGTGTGTGTGTGTGTGTGTGTATGCCACATTTTCTTTATCAGTTCCTCAGCTGTAAGCACTTAGGTTGAATTCCATATCTTTATTATTGTAAATTGTGCTGTGGTAAGCATATGAGTGTAGGTATCTTTTTGATATAATACCAAAAATTATATAAAATTTTATCTTTTGGATATAATTTCTTTTTCTCTGGGTAAATCTACAGTAGTGGGATTAATGAATCAAATGGTAGATCTACTTTTAGTTCTTTGAGACATCTATACTGCTTTACATAGAGATAGTATTAATTTACATTCCCACCAACAGTGCATAAGTGTTTCCTTTTCACTATATCTTTGCCAACATCTATTGTTTTTCAACCTTTTATTAATGACCATTCTGACTGAAGTAGGGTGGTATCCCTTTGTGGTTTTAATTTCTATATCACAGATGATTAGGAATGTTGAGCATTTTTCATATGTTAGTTGACCATTTGTATGTCTACTTTTGAAAAATATCTTTTCATGTCTATAGATTACTTTTTTTTTTTCTGAGACAGAGTCTCACTCTGTCACCCAGGGTAGAGTGCTATGGCGTCAGTCTAGCTCACAGCAACCTCAAACTCCTGGGCTCAAGCAATCCTTCTGCCTCAGCCTCCCGAGTAGCTGGGACTACAGGCATGCACTACCATGCCCAGCTAATTTTTTCTATATATTTTTAGTTGGCCAATTAATTTCTTTTTATTTTTAGTAGAGACAGGGTCCTGCTCTTGCTCAGGCTGGTTTCAAAACTCCTGACCTTGAGCGATCCTCCTGCCTCGGCCTCCCAGAGTGCTAGGATTACATGCACGAGCCATCGGGGCCTTTTGCCTACTTTTTAATGAGGTTGTTTGTTTCTTGCTAATTTGTTTGAGTTCCTTATAGAGTTTGAATATTAGCCCTTTATCAAATGCATAGTTTACAAATATTTTTCCCATTCTGTAGGTTGTCTATTTACTCTGTTGATTATTTCTTTTGCTGTGCAGAAGATTTTAAGCTTAATTAAGTACCATTTGTTTATTTTTGCTTTTGTTGCATTTGCTTTTGGAGTCTTAGTCATAAATTCTTTGCCTAGGCCAATGTCTAGAAGATTTTTTGCTAGGCTTTCTTCTAGAATATTTAATGTTTCTGATCTTACAAATCTTTAATCCACCTTGAGTTCATTTTGTATATGGTGAGAGATAGGAATCTAGTTTTGTTCTTCTCCATATGGCTATCCAATTTTCCCAGCACCGTTTATTGAATAGGATGTCTTTTCCCCAGAGTATGTTTTTGTCTGCATTTTCAAAGATCAGTTGGTTATAGGTATATAGCTTTTTAGCTTTATTTCTAGATTGTCTTTTCTGTTCCATGAATTGATGTGTCTACATCTATACCAGTATGAGGCTATTCTGTTTACTGCAGCCTAGTAGTATAATTTGTAGTCAGGTAATGTGATGCCTCCAGATTTTTATTAGGATTGCTTTGGTTATTTGGGCTATTTTTTTGGTTCCATATGAATTTTAGGATTTTTTTTTGTAATTCTGTAAAAAATGATGTTGAGATTTTTATAGGAATTGCATTGAATCTGTAGATTGATTTGAGAAGTATGGTCATATTAACAATACTGATTTTTCTAATTTATAAGCATGAAGTGTTTTTTCATTTGTTTGTGTTTTCTAGTTTTCTTTCATCAGTGTTTTGTAGATTTCTTTGTGGAGTTCTTTCACCTCCTTGGTTAAATATATTCCTAAGTATTTGATTTTATTGCAGCTATTGTAAATGCAATTGAGTTCTTTATGTGATTCTTAGCTTGGTCATTATTGGTGTGTAGAAATATACAGGTTTGTGTACATTGATTTTGCAACTTGAGACTCTACTGATTCATTTATCATATAAGAGACATTTAGAGGAGTCTTTAGGGTTTTCCATGTATAAGATTATATTATCAGCAAATAGAGATAATTTGACTTTCTCTTTCCCAATTTGAATGCCCTTTATTTCTTTCTCTTGCCTGATTGTTCTGGCTAGGACATCCTTTATTATGTTAAATAGAAGTAGTGACAGTGTATATCTTGTCTTGTTCCAGCTCTTAGCAGGTATACCTTCAATTTTTCATTCAGCATGATGTTGGCTGTGGCTTTGTCTCATATGGATTTTATTATTTTGGGATATGTTTTCCCTATATTTTGAGGTGTAGAGATGCTCATTATAGTGTTGGATGACCCTTTGTATTTCTATAGTATCAGTTGTAATGTCTATCAGTAGTTATGCCTAATTGATTGAGGGTTTTTTAAAATCACGAAGAAGTGATGGATTTTATTGAATACTTTTTCCGCATCTATTGAGATGATAATATGGTTTTGTTTTTAATTCTGTTTATGTGCTGAATCACATTTATTGACTTGTGTAGGTTGTAAAATCTTCACATGCCTAGAACAAGAACCACATAATCATGGTGTATTATCTTTTTGATGGGCACTTTAGATTCAGTTTGCTACTATTTTGTTGAGGATTTTTGCATCCATGTTCATCAGGGACATGGGTCTGTGGTTTTTCCTATTGTATCCTTTCCTGGTTTTGGTATCAGAGTAATATTGGCTTTATAGAATGAGTTTGGGGAGGGTTCCCTCTTTCTACCCTTTGGAGCATTTTTGGTAGGATTTGTACCAGTTCTTATTTGCATATCTGATAGAATTCAACTGTGAATCCATTTTATCCTGGGCTTTTGTTTGTTGGGAGTTTTTTTCTTTTTTATTGCTGATTCAAACTCATTAGTCATTATTGGTTTGTTCAAGATTTCTATTTATTCCTTATTCAAGCTTATGAGGTTATATGTTTCTAGGAATTTCCCCATTTCCTCTAAATTTTCTAATTTTTGGTACAGAGATGTTCATAATAGTCTTGGATAATCTTTTTATTTCTGTGGTATCCATTGTAATGTCCCCTTTTCATTTCTGATTGAGCTTATTTGAATCTCCTTTTCCTTGGTTAATCTTGATAGTGGTCTATCAATTTTGTTTATCTTTTCAAAGAACCAACGCTTCATTTCATCGATCCTTTGTACTTTTTGTTTTAATTTCATTTATTTCTTTTCTTATTTTTGTTATTTCTTCTCTTCTGCTATCTTTGAGTTTGTTTTTGTTCTTGTTTTTCTAGTTTCTTAAGTTGTGACATTAGGTTGTTAGTTTGTGATTTTTCTGTCTTTTTGATGTAGACATAAAACTTTCATCTTAGCACTACTTTTTCTGTATACTTTTTCTGTTTTGATAACTCATGTCACTATTATCATGCATTTCCAAAAATTTTTATCCTGTTCTCTTGATTTCATCATTGTCACAAAAATTGTTGAGCAGCAGGCTGTTTAATTTCCATGTACTTGTATAGTTTTAAGAGTTTCTCTTTGAAATGATTTATGGTTTTATTCTGCTGTGGTCTGGAAGATACTTACTGTGATTTAAATTTTTCGAAATTTTCTAATACTTTTTTTGTAGCCTAGCATAAGATCTGTCTTGGGAAATGTTCCATGTGCTGAGGAGAAGCATGCATATTCTGCAGTTTTGGGTAGAATGTTCTATGAAATGTCTGAGGGCCCATTTGTTCTAAAGTCCAGTTTAAGTCCAGTGTTTTTTTTTGTTGACTTTCTTCCTTGGTGATCTACCTAGTGTTGTCAGTGAAGTGTTGAAGTCCTCCAATATTATTGTATTGCTGTCTATCTTTTTTTCTTAGGTCTAGCAGTATTTATTTTATGAATCTGGGTGCCCTGGTGTTAGGTGCATATATATTTAGGATGGTTGTATGTTCTTGTTGAATTGATCCCTTTACTATTATATAATGGCTTTCTTTATCTTTTTTTTTTTTTTTTTTTTTACTGTGGTTGATTTAAAGTCTGTTTTATCTGACATAAAGTGTGGCTAGTAGAGCTCACTTTTAATTTCCATTTGTGTGGAATATCTTTTTCCATCCCCTTACCTTGAATCTATGAAAATCTTTATCAGTTAAGTGATAAAGATTTGAAGGCATTAAACATTTGGATACTATTGCTTTTTATCTATTCCACCATTCTGCATGTTTCAAACGGGGCCTTTAGCCTGTTTATATTCAAACTAAAAATTGATAAGTGAGCTTATGGTCCTATTGTAATGGTAATTCTTACCTAATTACTTTATATAGTCTCACTGCAAGATTGTTTTTATATAACCTGTGAATTTCATGGTTTTGTGTGTCTTTATGATAGTGAGTA